ACCGCAGCAGAGAAGTGGGTAGAGACTGGGCCGCTGGGAAGGGCTGCAGGCATCAATAACTTTGGCTTTGGAGGCACCAACGCTCATGCTGTCGTGAAGCAGTACAGACAACAGCAAGATGTTAGGTCAAGAACTAACACTGCGCCCAAACTGTTTGTTCTGTCCACAGCCACAGAAAAGTCTCTTAAAATGATGATGGAAGACACAGTCCAAAAGATCAGCAATGACAACACAGTTGATCTACAAGCTCTAGCTTATACATCTGCATGTAGAAGGACTCACTTGAGGCACAAATACAGAAGAGCCTTTGTTGCGTCTTCTATCAGTAATTTAGTAGAGCAGCTTAAATCTGCAACAACCAAGAGCATTTCTCAGTCAAAGTCAGACCCCAGGTTGGTTTTTGTGTTTTGTGGCAATGGAGTTACCTACCGAGGCATGTGCAAGCAACTGTTACAAGAGGAGTGTGTTTTCAGGGAGAAGGTGAAAGAGATAGATGAGATTTTCCACAACTACAGGATCTTGAATCTCCTGGAGAAACTAGACAGTGATTATGACAACGATGATTACTCCAAACCAGATGTTGTCCAGCCACTTCTCTTTGCTGTCCAGGTTGCTATTGCCAGCCTTTTCAAGCACTGGGGTGTCAAAGCAGACGCCATGGTTGGGCACTCTGTGGGAGAGGTGGCTGCTGCACATTGTTCTGGACTGCTGTCCCTGGAGGACGCAGTTAAGGTCATTTACTTCCGCAGTGCTCTTCAGGCCACAGCAACTGGTGGGAAAATGCTTGTGGTCAGTAACATAAGTGTGACAGAGATCTCAAAACTCCTGCCCGCATATTCAGGGAAGCTTTGTCTTGCTGCCTACAACAGCCCTAGATCATGCACCTTGTCAGGGGATGCAGATGCTATAGAAAGTATACATCAGAAATTGAAAACATCATTCAGCGGCAAGAATTTATTTCTTCATGTTTTGGACGTTCCAGCTGCGTACCACAGCCACATGATGGATCCAATTTTAAGGCCAATTGAAGAGAACATCGGCATGTTGACACAACAGCCAATGGGGGTAGAGCTGTTCTCAACTGTGACAGGAAACGTTTGTTCTCCAGGTGATTTTATCACAGGCGAATACTGGGCGAGAAACATTCGAGAGCCAGTAGCTTTTGAGCAGGCAGTGAAATCTGCTGCGAAAGACAAGAGGAATGTAGTTTTTGTAGAAATTGGTCCAAGAAGAGCACTGCAAAGGAATATCCTGGAGACACTAGGGAATGAGGCCACGGTATTCTCATCTGTGCAGCCAGAGAAAGACCACGAGGCATTGCTCACTGTCACATCAAAGCTTTTTGAGCTGGGCCTCCAAGTCAACTGGGAGCAACTTTTTGAAGGATGTGAGACAATACCAACACCATTTCCAAGATATCAGTTTGACAGTCTGAAGAAAGAGGTGTACTTTGAGTTGGTAAGGAAGGGCAATGAAACTGTGTCAGTTTCCAATCACCCTGTGCTGATGCAGACCGGCAACGACGACAAAGAATTCAGTTGCAACATTTCAGGAGACTCTGTGTCTTATATATCTGAACACAAAAACAATGGTGTTGTTATAGTTCCAGGTGCCTTCTATGTTGAAATGGGATTGGCATCATTCATGGCCAGTGTGAGACCAAAAGTAACACTTAGGTCAATGCAGCTCACCATTCATTTCCAGAGTCCTTTCATTTTGAGCAAGAACCCCCTTGAGATGAAAGTACAGCTCGAACCAACAGGCAATGCAACGATGTTTAAAGTAAAGTCTGCAGTAGCCACTTATGCATCTGGGAGAATTGAGCATAGCACAGAACGAACTATTAAAGAAAAGAAAATCTTACTGGACCTTATCTTCAAAAGATGTCCCTTGGTAGTAAAGTCAGGGGATGTCTACAAAAAACTTTCTCAGGTAGGATTCCAGTATGGGTCGGTTTTCAGAAACCTTGGAGATGTGCATTATGGGGAAGAGTTCAGGGAAGCTCTCACGAGTGTGAAGGTCCCAGATGAAACTGTAAACCAGCTGCATGACTACTGCATACACCCTGTAGTGTTAGATTATTTCTTACAGATGACCGCTGTTGTAGCAGCGAACGGCTTTAAGGCAAGACCTGGGTTTCCTTCAGCCATAGGCAGCCTGACAGTTGTAAAGCCATTGGAGGAGGAAATGATTATGTATTTAAGGACAACCAAAGCAAACTCTGACTATCTTGAGGTGTGTGGTTGCTTCACAAACAAAGAAGGCTGTGTTTTAGTTGAACTTAAACATGTGAGGATTACATTTTTAAAAAATACATCTTCAGTTTCTGAAGAATACTTCTTTCACAATGAGTTGACAGCAATTTCAGAGGATTTCAACTCTAGCCACAGGTCAGTGGCTCTGGTCTTTGCAGACCAGTTAGGAGTGGCCCAGGCCTTGCGACAGCACTTACATCATAGCTGTACCTACATTCCTTTCCAAGACTCTGGGAAATTTGCAGACCGTGAGCTTCCTGCATTGATTTCACAACTACATGTTCCAGGCAGGCAGTACAAAGAGGTTTTGTTCTTGTGGGGGATTCAGAACCTCAATAATCTGACAACAGAGGAGGTTCTTGAGTGCTTGGTTTGCTGTTGTGAAGTTTACCGCCAGATTGTTAAAACAATGAAAGAGAAAAAATCCCCTAATGTCATCAGAGCTGTCACGTACAGATCAACAGAGAACACAGTTGACCACATTAGCCCAGGCTTTGTGCTTTCCGGTATGATAAGGTCTTGTGCAGCAGAAATTCCTGGTCTCACATTCCAGCTGATTGATATTGGTTCTGTAAGTAGTGAGGACATTACAGCACTGGCTCAGATTATTAATTCACACACAGGCCACAGGTACCCAGAAGTTGTAATAAGCAAAGGCCAGATTTTTACAACTGAAATTACACGCACAGCAATTAAAAATGTAAGGAAAACTCAAAGAAAGGTCTTGTCTTCAGATCCAGAATGTTTCTTGCTGCAGACTGCCAATCCGTACAAAATGACAGGCTTGAGTGCCAGTCCCTCTACTGATACGGAGAAGCCTTCTATGACACAATGTGTAGCGGTTCAGATGAATACAATGTGTGTTCACTCCTCAGAGTACTTTCCCGTCAGTCTCTCGGATTTGGAATTTGGCCAGACGATATACTGGAGTGAACACGCATCTCAAAACCACAAACTCCTAGCACTCGACTTCAGTGGTAAAGTTACAGCTGTGGGTAGTGATGTAAGCAAACTGAAAGTAGGAGATCACATTGTCTCCTGCTACCCTGTGGTTGCTTCCTCCAAAGTCACAATTCCTGAAGCTGTGTGCTATAATACAAAGAAATTCCCCTTTCTTGTGGAAGTGCCATGTTTATCCTTCTTTATACTGTCTTGGGAAATCCTGCATTGTGCATTGCCCAGACTGAAACAGCAGAGGAAGCTGGGTATTGTCTGCACTGCACCAGAGTCAAGCCTGCTCCAGGTTTTGGTGCTTGCAGCTAATAAATCAGGATGGGTTGCTGTAGTTGGAACACAGTTCAGTGGACTGTTACAGAACATAAACAGGTGTGATGCTTTCGTTTTCTTGCCTCCCTTTGATGCAGATTCAGTTGCAAAGGCATGTAGCGTTTCTAGTGCCAAACACATCATTGTTGTCTGTGATAATCAGCTGTCACCTGCTTTCTCGCAGAAAATCTTTCCAAGTAAAAATGAAAATGTTTGCATTCAGCTCCTTCAGGTATTTCATGTTTTTCAAAAGGCCCATCTTAAGAAACAGAAATCAAAAATCTATAAATGGATAAAGTCATTGAATTTGGACAAGAAATCTTTAGATTTCCACAGTGTAACATTCCAAAGGGTGACATCTGGCAGTATTGATTCTCTAGCTCTTGATGAGTCTCAATCTTATTTCTCCTGTAAGACGATGCCTGTAGTTGTTCTAGAATCGGCACCAAAGAAGAATATTTCTGATATTCCAGTGCTCGAGACTGAAAAGCAGCTTTTCCAGCAAAACTCAGTTTATATAGTGACAGGGGGGCTTTCGGGTTTGGGATTTGAGACAGTAAAGTTTATTGCAGAACGGGGAGGGGGGTGTATCGCCATTCTTTCCAGAAGTGCTCCTTCAGCAGAAAAGAAGATAGAGATCACTGATCTGCAGAACCATTTCGGGGTTTCTGTAATCAGCTTGCAGTGTGATGTTTCAGTTTCTGAAGATGTTATGAAAGCCATCACAGATATTGGACAGAGGTTTCCTTCTTGTCCCATCAGAGGGGTTTTCCACAGTGCAGTTGTCTTGCGTGATGGATTAATTGACATTCTGGAAAAATCACACTTTGAAAAAGTTCTGAGACCTAAAGTTAATGGTGTGTTGAACCTGCACTATGCAACAAGATATTGTAAACTGGATTATTTTGTGTGTTACTCCTCCATTACCTCCTTTATTGGAAATTCAGCTCAAACAAACTATGCAGCAGCAAATTCATTTCTGGATGTGTTTTGCCATTACCGGAGAAACCTTGGACTTTCTGGGCAGTCCATTAATTGGGGGGCTTTGAATCTTGGTCTCCTGCTGAACCGGGAACATTTCCAACGATTTCTTGAGGCAAAGGGAATGATGATCATGGAAGTACCAGAGATTCACGAGTGTCTTGAACACTGCTTGCTGCAGAACAATGCTCAGCAGGTTGTGTGCAAGTTCAGCTTCAAGAACCTAAGCAATCATGTTCTTTCTCAAAATGCCTCTTTAAGAATGCGCTTACTGGCTTTGGTGACAGAAGAACTGAAAAACACAAGAGAAACTGAACCTCAGGTAGAAGAAAGTACTCTTGCCTCTTCAGCTGATGAGTATGTTAAGTCTCTGCTCTGTGAAGTAGGCAATGTTGATGTTGTTGAGATGAGAAGTGACACAGGACTTTCTGCATTGGGTATTGACTCAATGTTAGCGATGACGCTACAAAACCGCATCTTTCAAGATAGAAACGTGAATGTTCCCCTCATCAAACTTCTCGATCCAAGCACAACCGTTTCCTCTCTAGTTTTGGTTCTCCAGGAAGACACTGAGAGAAAATTTCAAAATGAGGATCAGAAAATGACTTTGAGCACAACTGAGAAAAGTAGAGATTATGAGTTCACTCAGTTTTAAATATTTAAACAAACTACACATTAATTCTTTCATGCCTGTTAACCTGACAATAAGGCCTGATAATAAGGTGTTCTGAGAAGATTCAGAGAGAATTGCAAAATGAGGATCGGAAAATGTCCTTATGGAAAGGTTACAAAAATGAAGATTATGAAGTCATTCAGTACTCCTTGAATTAAGAGAGGTCCTTAGACTGGACAGATTCTGAAAACCCTAAGTGCAAATTACACAGGACAACAGAATGAACAACCCTATGCCTAAAAATGGAGCAATGAGAGTTAATGACCATGCAGCCAGGACGCTGGTGTTGTCTCATCTGAAGGACAGCACCTCTTACAACACTGTGTCCCCTGTATACTCATAAGGAAAAGACAATTACTTATTCAGAATTAGAGTGAAGAAGGATGAATTATGTTTATCTCTGCTTTCTTCTTCTGTCCCTTATTTGTCATATCCCAACTATTGGACATACCCATGTAAGACTTATGTTATTTTTACTGCTTCTACAGAATGTGAAGCAATGAAATATGATGTAAATATCAAGATAATGTAATATATTATTTCATATTAAAATTTAAAAGTTCTCAGTTTGTCATTTAAGTTATTCAGGACAATTTTAAGAATGCGTAACTACACAGCAATAAATTATTATAGAAAAAAACATTTGTTTTGTGTTCAATATTATTGAGATATTCTAATCAAAGATGCTTAATAGGATAATAAAGAGGAAGTATCTTTTTAGATAGTAAATACGTTTTGTTGCAATTGTGTCTCAAGAAAACTAAAATATTCCTGATAGAGCACAGGATGATTACTTTCATATCAACTGTTCAGTTTGTTGCTAGGACTCCCGGCTCATACAGTGGAAACTGACTCTATTAGATTGATTAGTAAATGGACTCATTCTTGTTATTAGCAACCAAATAACCCACTGTTTTGGGGCTTTTGTGCCATTTTTCTGTTGTCATTGAGTAGAATGATAAGCAATGGAGATCCTAGTAGGGAATTATTCCACTGTTGTAAAAGATGTGAGTGATCTTCATTTTGCCTGAACTACACAATTAGCACTACGTAAAGATAATTAAATTATCTTTCTCATATCTGATTAACAAATACTGGACGTATCCAGACAGAGCATTGAATATCTTCAACAGCGATGTACAGTACAAATTTTCAGTTATTTCATGTCATCCCTGATATCCCTCCCTAGAGGGTGCTCCACTACTCCCATTATTCTCCTTGTGATTTAGCTCCCCAGGTGTACCTTCTTAGGTGTATTATTTAAAGACTAGCTCCTCCAGTCCTCGGGGCTCATCATTAGGGTAAGGACCTTATGTCTCACGGATTGTCACTATTATTTTGTGCACTATTAAACCCGTGTGTTCCCTTTTACCACGCCTCCTGTTTTCTCCAGCTCTTACTGCATCGCATAGGGTTTACTACAAGTTCTGTCACGGATCTCAGTCCGTGTTCGTGACATTTCAGTTATTAGGTTAGTTCTTCAAACAAAATTATGCTCTTAACACATGTACTGTTTGTCTCATTGAGTCAGCTTTTTAAAACTGCATAAATTGTCAGTGTATAGGTTTCATATTTACAGAAGAAACGTTGTTTTTATTTTTAGAATATGTAGAAAATGCATTTCTGAACATAGGGTAGCATGCAAATTCCACAAACAATATAGCTCAGCTGTTGCTTCCTAGCAAACATTTGCAAGACAGTTTAGTTTTTTTCAGAACACGTACGTGTTAAATTCCACAACACGCTAAGTTGAGGAAATATCGCAAAAGACCACACATTTATTTGTGAGTCTATATGTGATGCCCTGACGAGCTCAATCACCATGGTGCGTTCCACCTACGGGCATGGCATAACAGTATAAGTATGTTATTTACTTAGTAGATGCCACTTTTTGGGGCAACTTACAAAATACAGTTGTGAAAAAAAGTTTGTGAACCCTTTGGAATTATCTGAATTTCTGCATGAATGGCTCCTACAATGTGATCTGATCTTCAGCTAAGTCATAATAAATACAGTGTTATTTA